ACATGAGCTATGTCCGGCTCCATCCTAACTAACATGAGCTATGTCCGGCTCCATCCTAACTAACATGAGCTATGTCCGGCTCCATCCTAACTAACATGAGCTATGTCCGGCTCCATTCTAACCAACATGAGCTATGTCCGGCTCCATCCTAACTAACATGAGCTATGTCCGGCTCCATTCTAGCTGACAATATTAGCTAGACATATAGCCTATGATATAGGCACTAATAGGGCCGCCCTATATGTTCTTTCACGGCGCCCACGGTCTCGCCATTCCCTTCAATCATATCTGTTGTTCAACAATCGCGAACTCAGTCTGACAAGTATACCATCAAGCGGAGGGCAGTGACAGATGATGCCAGTGAGTTGGGAACTGTGGTACAGCTCGGGGCAGACCCACAGAGTCCCGGAGCACTCTAGTTGGTGCGCCGATCTTAACCTAACTCGCTCAATTGAAGCTCACCGAATGAGGATGCATTGTCCTGGACAGTGAAGCCTGTCGACCTTGTCACCTGCACGATTCTACCGCGGAATCGTTCGCGATGCGATGTGCGTATGATGAACTTGGAAGGGACCATTTGTGCCAGGAGTCACCGACCGGTACCTAGTCAACCGAAGCAGCTCCCCGTTCAGATCGGTGAGCCGATGACAGGTTTTCTGGGCAGGCGCTGTGGTCGCTTTTGTTCCGTGACGCATCGATGATCCATCATGACGTGGAGCATATCGGATATGCCATATCCGAATACTTCAAGTCGAGCTCTGAAATTTAAGTCAAAATATCCCAAAAGGCCTCCTCCTCCTCCTCCTCCTCCGCCTAATCGACTGCTCGCCTTGGTTTGTGTGCTTGGCGTGTTGAAGATCACCGGAGGAAAGCCTTTCAACCTCGATGTGATGTACAGGTCTATCCCTGGATACGGCTTCGGATTGTTTCAGTGTGGGTGCCCCCCCCCGAAATCGCACCTTCCGAGTATCAGTAAGGTAGAGTAGTGTTTCCGAGTCCAATATACGGAGCCCAACGTAATCATTCATAAAAAACTATATTTCATCACCCTGGGTGATTCACCCAAATACACAAATCCGACTCACACTATCAACTCATTTACTATTATTTCAACTACTAGGAAACACTCCATGACTCATGGACTATGAGGGAAGAAGGGAGGGAAATATACGGTATATCAACCTAGAAATTTCAAGCTATTCGTGCTACGTGAGTATTATCATGAAGCGGAACGATATTCGAATCCAACGCTTCTCCTTGGCAAGAGGAACGATGTTCAAGAGTCCCGGCGGTGACTCAGAAAAATAGTCGAACGTTGATTGAAACTGCTCGAACAGCATAATGGGAAATGTGCTCGGATATTGCACCTTCCTGAGCAAATAGTCTTCAATAGAGAGCACCACTCGGGACTTGTTCACTGAGACTCGGAACTCGGAATTTATAACTCGAAGAGATAGATCGCTCGAACGGGCCCATGGAGTCTAGTAAGGATTTGTATTCCAAAGTTCAGAGGTAGGGGCCAAAAGGTCTAATGGAAGGTACCTCCCCAGGGAGAGATGTCCATCTTTACATGAACTGAAAACGATCTCGGTGGGACACGAACCCACAATCTTTGGTTCCGAAGACCAACGCCTTATCCATTAGGCCACGAGACCACGAGATCATCGACTGCTAACATATCCAACCAACTCTCAAGAGTTTTATCATAAAATATCTTCCGGAATAATGCTTCCTTCCAATTCTAAGATCGTTACTGCTCCGGGTGGTAATAGGTTCATAACAGAACAACGTTTCCCATTTTTCTACAGTGCTGAAAATGTTCGCGATGCTACGAATTGCTTTGCAGGGCACCAAGTGCTAGGAGGTGCAAAGCACGAGATATACGGTAGCCTACCGTCGGTAGGACTCTGAGTGCTGCAAGTGTTGCGGCGAGGAGAAGGAAGGGTGCAAGATCACGGTGTGATATGAGCTTTGTATAGTCGTCCGTCCACTTGCACCGTTATTGTTCCTCTCTGAGTGGGTGAGTTGGATGATTGTAGATCTGCTCATGACAGAGATCATGGCTCCACTCTCCATCGGTACCGAGGGTGGGCTTGTCGAGTTCGACAGGTCGGTGGGACTGTGATGAGCGAGAAGATTTGCACTCTTTTCCAAGTGGAGCATTTCTCCCTTTCTCTGTATTAGACTAAAACTCAATACTCTCTTCCCATCATTCGAGGAAGCCGGTTAAAGTGTCACACTGTATTGAAATAATAACAGTAACAACAACAGTGTACAGTTATACAACAACATTCTTGACTCGAACTCTCGACGGGTCTATGTGAAGTGACGAGGATACAGCCTGAATGCGTTGAGGAAATGCAAGATCTAGTAAGATTGCAAGATACCAACCTCAACGAACTGTTTCTCAATGGCTTTCTTCGCCTCCTGTTTGTCAGAGCCGTACAAATCCTTCACATCCTCCCATCTCAAGGAGATCTTCATCCTCCCCGACGTAGTAGACGAAAGAGAGGTCACCGCCATAGGTACCTCTGACACTTCTGAAGCACCAAAGAATACTCACCAACTCAAAATTGAGCGTATTTTTTCTCTCACGCAAATTCGCAAATTGAGTAATTTTACGCTTACTAGTAGAGTTTCACGTGAGGTGGCGTAATACTCCTAGTGAAAATGCGACATTAAATGAATTGAAAATACTTGCCGAATTACACCGGACAAATCCCCCCATATCACGTAAAACACATACCACGTGTTTTATGCGTTATTCACTGCTCACATGCGTTTTTCGCGAAGCGAAATGTGAAATATGGCTTTCACTATTGTTTTTCATATCCATACACCAACACAGTGTATATTTTCCAAACTCACCTGGAGGATTCAACTCGGGCGTATCAACTTTGTCCACCGCTGTTGACGAAACCAGCGAGCTCTCTCTCGAGCTGCATGAGTTTTGCTTTGACGGAATCGGCAGAGTTGGAGTGATAGTTTTCTTCTGCTCAGCTGAACCCTCACCTTAACAGGAAATAACGCAGTATTTTCGATATGAAAAACACATTTCACATATCGCTCCGCGAAAAACGCATGTGAGCAGTGAATATCGCGTAGAACACGTGGTATGTGTTTTACATTGTAGGTAAATGCAATAATAATCTTTCGTGGGGTCTAGCATTAATGGAGTTCCACGGGCGGCCGTGATATGAAAAACACTAGTGGAAAATATATTTCACTTGGCGGGAAAAATGTATTATCGGCAGTCGCGGAAAGATAAACATCTTATAATTTACATGGAGTATTACCCCACTTCACGTTAAACGGATCATCGTGGAACTCCAATGACATTAACCGTAGATATATAATGAAGTTTCACGACTACCCGTTTCGCGTGAAGTGGCGTCGTAAAACTCGGTGAAAAAGGCGATATTCGCGGTGATATGCAGTAGTCGTGAAATATGTTTTTCACATCACTAGGGTATTTCTAGCAAATCCAACACAATACTCTCACTAGCCCAAATCGATCGCTTGATCGATTTCAACAATCTCACTTTCTTTCCCTTTGTTCGCCACAGAATCATCCTTAACCTCAGCAGGTAAAGATGCGGCCTTCGTCAAATCAGGTGCTGCAAACGCGTCCCACTAAACCAAATCGATCACCTGGGCGAGCGCTATTGTCATCCCCACCCCTACCGCTGCTATTGCCTCCTGAGCACTTGCTGTTGGACTCGCATTTCCCTGAAAAATGGGGAAATTTTTTCCCGGAAAAAATTTTAAAAAACTCACAATTTTCGTCGTAGTCGGCCAACCAAGATCTTCCGTATTCGACACCGCAGGAGCCGCTTTCTCAAGATCCTTTTTCTGCTGCCTGTTATCAAATCGATCACCAGGGCGCGCGCTTTTCCCCTCACTTTCGTTCTCTTGACTTCCCTCTCTTAGAAGCACCTCTTCGACTTCGGCCGCGCGTCGCCTTTGCGGCCGGCCAGAAAATTTGCTGACCTCCGGTGGAAATTTCAGGTGCTATTTTTTGGGGCTCTTTCGAAGCCTTCGGTGCGGTATCGACATCCTAGGAAGGAAATCCGTCTCGCAAATACCAAATCATTGTGAATCGATTGAGAACAATAGGTTTACTTCAAAACAGCTACACCAATTCCGAATAATTTCCGTCACGCGCCACGAAATTACACTCACCTTCTTTTCTTGTTTACCCTGCATCGCTTCGCTCCGCTGTACCTCTTGCGAAGGAGTGTCTTTCTTCCCTACAGCCACCAGCGGCGGGGAGGAATTTCCTGTGGGGAAAAACGTCGCGTGCCGGAATCGAACCAGGGAATCATCCCTCATTTTAAATTTTCCCCATTCTTCGATCAGTCTTTCCCATGTAAATGTCATCACATTAGTAACATTTCCCCATCGTTATCAATCTTTTGGGGAAGCGTT